GGGAGTTCAATTTTAATCAAAACTATTTTCTAGATCAAACATTAAGGGGTACATTCAATTAAACGACTGTCTCAAGAGAATGCTTATTAAACATGCCAAGTATAGGAGAGGAAATGAATGGGTCAACTGCACACAAGAAGTAAATGCTTGGAACCTGGCGTATTAAATTTTCCACCACACTGAGTGCGCCAGACAACACCTTTGAAATTTTCAGTCCATCTTTAAAAGAGAATAGTAATAGATTCAAGAAGTAAACAACAACAAAAATTCAGTTTTGAGAAAGAATAGGTACGTGAAAATACATCTCAAATAGGTCCAGGTAAGTCGATAAGAAGCCTGAAAAGAATAAAAATAAAATAAAAAGCAAGGGCAGTTTCAGGGAAGAAACTATGAGAAAAAAAATCACGTGAATTATTAAAGAAATCCTTCACTCGGCATTAGTCAGTTACCCCTTTGGATTCCAAAGCTTGAAAAGGATGACAGAATCCAGAGGTTGGTCACAAAACGGGCATATAAGTAAAACATTCTCCAAGGGAAGGATCGGCTAGCTTAAACGTAAAGAATTTAAAAGCCAAATCAAGATCCTCAAAATACATTCAACCAAGACTTATCGAGTCCATGTCACTCTGTCCTGCCTATGAGTTCACAGCAAGAGGGAGTGGTTTCACTTTCCCTGGCGCACTGAGCTGCGGCTCTGCGCCAACAATGAGAAGGCTGGGGGTGGGGTGGATGCAGGGTCAGCGGCACTGGGGTGGGGTCAGGAGTCCTGCTTTCCAGTCCCGGTCTCCCCAAGCTCTCTAGGCATCGAGTGCACCTTCTAGTCTAGTGCTTGGTAGGGTTGCACCCATTCAAGAACCAAGAAACTGTGAAACACCATTTACAGGCTGTGAGCAATGATTTTCACATCTCAAAAAACAAAAAAAAGTGGAAAAATGGTTCTCTCCTGTTACACAGCCTTACTCCCCTGGGATTGTTTCCCTCCAGGTTCTTTCTTGCCTAACCTCAAAAGGTTTTTATAACAAGAAGTCTGATTAAATGTGACAAATTATAAGAGGAAAATTACATACATATACCCAGTCTTTGGAAGAACTGTGTGAAAATCATACACACAAGGTCACACTTAAAGATGCCCTTGCCCAATGTTCATAGCAGCACTATTTACAATAGCCAAGACATGGAAGCAACCTACATGTCCATCGACACCCAAATGGATTAAAGTGTGGTATATGTATATAATGGAATACTACCCAGCCATAAAAAAGAATGAAATAATGCCATTTGCAGTAACATGGATGGACCTAGAGATTATCACACTAAGTGAAGTAAGTCAGAGAAAGACAAATACCATATGCTATCACTTATTTGTGGCATCTAAAATATGACATAAATGAACTTACTTACAAAACAGAAACAGATTCACAGACAGAGAAAACAAACTTAAAGTTACCAAAGGGGAAAGGGGTGGGAGAGTGATAAATTAGGAATTTGGGGTTAGCGGATACAAACTACTATATACAAAATAAATAAAAAAACAAGGTCCTACTGTATAGCACAGGGAGCTATATTCAATATCGTGTAATAACCTATAGTGGAAAAGAATCTGAAACAGAATATATATATATATATAACTGAATCACTTTGCTGTATACCAGAAACTACCACCACACTGTAAATCAACTATACTTCAAAAAAAGAGTCCTTGCCAATTCTGTTCTCCAAAACAGAAATGTAAAAAATCATACTCACTGTTCCTTCATTTCTACATAATCTTCTTCGTCATGCTTTGCCAGGTCAGTTTCACTAGCATCCTCAGTGTCTAAGTAAAATTCAGGGAAAAGGATTTGTTAAAACCGTAATTCATAGAATAGGTGTCATCTAACACAGTGATGCTTTATAAACTTCTGGAAAATGAATTTCTACTCAGTGCAGGCCTGCATGAAGCAATCAGTGAAAAATATTACATCAGAAAAGAAAATGCCATTTCCAACTCATACACATCCAGATTTATACAAAGGGCCTGCTTTCCACCTGAAGAACAGCTGGAGAACAGAATGCAACACACATTGGCAGTTATGGTCAAGGCTGCTACTTCTGCTGAAACAACACTGGCAGTTCAGGAAAAGGAGATTTGAGTGTGAGACTGGAAAACCACAGGCATCAAGCCTTGCTCACCACTCCAAAAGAACCTAATACGTACATTCTCTTCTGGTAGCTGCCCAGTCTGAACCCCTAGAAGATTACACGGTATACACAAAGGAGAAGAGGAACCAACTAATCGAACTCTAATAACAGAAACTGTTTCAGAACACTTTAAACATTGCTCTTAGACTAAGCAAATGGCTGGAGTGTCTACATAACTTCAACATCCCAAGTTTAGGGGGTGGGAGGGGAGAATCAATTTTGGACTCGCTGCTCCCTCTTGAGCGCGTTAAAAGCAGTACAAGTGATTCACATACAAAATCTCTGGTTAAACCTTTCATCAAATGTAATTTAACCAAATTGCAATCAGCTCCTTAAATTTCGTATCTGCACATACAGCTGCCTTTTTAAAGGCTTTTGCAGATCCAACTCTCCACATACCATTCTCCCCTTCCCAAGTGAAGAAAGCTTCCCCGAGTTGCCATGTGCCAGGCAGCCACAGTACTTGGCATTCGGGGAAATGAAATGATTAAAACATACTCCTGATTCCAGACACCTGGTCTAGCTTCTGCTCCACGGCTCTATTTTGTGCCAGAATATCTCACCTACACATTAGTCTCTCTTTATCTCTTCTTTTTTCTCTCTTGTCCTTTTATGTCTCTTCATTTTTCTCCCCTATAGCCAACTCCTTTCTCAATCCCTCAAAGAGTGTCCCTTACACTTGCCGAACTATAAAGCCTAGTTTGAAGAGCCAGGGTCTGACAGGCAGTAACGATAACGTAAGGGGTATGGAACTGAAAATACAACACCTGGGCACCATTAATCAAATCCCTCCCTCCCTCCCCGTGCCTGTTTCCCCAACAGTGAAAACACTTCATTATCTACTGAGGCCCAAGCCAAGTGCTTCACTTGTATCTCATTTAATCCTCACACCTATGCTAGGAAGTAGCTGCCCTTGCAGTTGGGTAAAATGAGGCTCGAAAGAGCAAGGAAATTGTCTAATATCGTTAAGATAGGTTACGTAAGCCAAATTTAGCCATAACTCTATCTGGCTGATTCCAGGTCCCGTACTTTTAACCACTCTGTACCGCACTGCCCAAAGTAGGGCTGATTAAGCATTTCTCCGGGGTGAGGGTGAGGGCCTTTTGGGAACCAGGAAGCCAAACTGGGCTTGCTCTGATCCTCTCCGGAACGAAAAGGTGAAGGGGTACTCAGTGCATCTAATGAATGGCATTCCCATTCCAACCAGCGAAGACTTGAGATTCAAAGAGATTTGGGGGAAGAGGGGCAGGACCTTAAAGGGACCTAGAGCTCTGACAACAGCTCCTTAAGGCCATTATCCGCATAACTGTAGGATACAAGGTACCCAGGAATTCCCCTTCCCCAACTCGGATAGGGGTAACTTCCGGGAGCCACGCTCCTCCCAGCCGCCCCTCCAGCAGCCCCCAAGCCCCAGAGGTCGCCCCGCCCCTCTCCCAGGCAGCCCCACCCCCTCTCACAGCGGTCCCACCCCCGCCCCGGGCTGCCCAGCCAGCGGGAGGACGTACCTTCGTCAGACTCCCGGCCCCGGCAGCTGCGCTCGTCGTCCTCGGCGCTCTCCAGCTCGTCGTCCTCCTCA